CTCAGGATCCACATATGCGTGAAAACACATTGTATCTGTCTTTCTCTGCCTGACTTATTTCACTTGGCATAATACCCTCCAGTTCCATCCATGTTGCTGCAAATGGCCAGATTCTTTCTCATTGCCAAGTAGTATTCCATTGTATATATAAACCACATCCTCTTTATCCATTCACCAGTTGATGGACATTTAGGCTCTTTCCATAAATTGGCTAATGTTGAAAGCACTGCTATAAACATTGGGGTACATGTTCCCCTATGCATCAGCACTCCTGTATCCCTTGGGTAAATTTCTAGCAGTGCTATTTCCGGGTCATAGGGTAGATCTGTTTTTAATTTTTTGAGGAACCTCCACACTGTTTTCCAGAGCGGCTGCACCAGTTTGCATTCCTACCAACAGTGCAAGAGGGTTCCCATTTCTCCACATCCTCTCCAGCATCTATAGTCTCCTGATTTGTTCATTTTGGCCACTCTGGCGTGAGGTGGTATCTCAGTGTGGTTTTGATCTGTATGTCCCTGATGAGAAGTGACATTAAGCATCTTTTCATGTGCCTCTTGGCCATCTGGATGGCTTCTTTAGAAAAGTGTCTATTCATGTCGTCTGCCCATTTCTTACTCTCCATGCTCAGCATGTGGGGCTTGATCCCACGACCCTGGGATCATGACCTGAGCCAAAATCAAGAGTCAGACGCTCAACCAACCGAGCCTCCCAGGCACCCCCAAACTATAAAATTTTTAGAGAAAACTGGAGGAAACTTTTATGACTTAGCATTAGGCAGAAGGTCTACTCTCCTATTTCATGTCTTTGAGATTCTTTCAATGTGTGCTTCTGTTCAGTGGATAATGGACTTCAGTGAGGTAATTTAGAGGACTAACATTTATTGAACATTTACTCTGAGTCAGGCATTGTTCTAACTCAATCCCTACAACACCCCTGCAAAATAGGTACTATAATATTCACTATCTCACTTTTGAGATGAGGAAACTGAAGCACAAATATTCATAAGTATGACCAGAGTAAATTCCACAGCAGCAGAACAGCAAGCGCCCTGAGCACTCTGGTTTCAGAGCTGGGCTGTTACCCACTCCTCCATTCTGACATCCTCATCTTCCTCATTCTTTCTGAAAATGCAAATCACTGATTTTCATGACTCCCGCAATCCAGGCCATCTACTTTTTCTTTCTGTGTGAGTTCTATTCATCCGCCCACATTTAGGTTGGTGGGTTTTTGTGGTTGAATCAGAGCAGCGTTAACCCACTTCAATCCATTTAGCGCCCTCTTGTGTCTGCAGTGGATTTTACAGCAAGCAGTGCTTCCGCATTAGGGCTGGGATACAAAAGATCTAGTGGGAAAGCTTCTGAGGATCAAAATGTGATAAATTGGTGTGATCAGAAACTTGAATTCCCTTAGACGTGAACTTTCTGGTGAGTTGCCTCCATGTGATTTGTCAATAAGAATAGAATCTTGGAGGGAAGCTGCTGACAGAAAACTTACAGAAATTCAAGTTGGCTTTTAAATCTCATTTTGCTATCTTCTTTTGTAGTAGGGCCTTGGCCTTTGGGCTTCCTGCATTGTGGGTGGCCCTGAGCTGTTAGGGTGAAAATCTTCATTCCTAACTTTTCAGCCTTAGAGGCAGGGTCATCTTTAGGGGTGTGTCTCTCCAAAGGGTAGAGGGTAGATTGCTTCCCCGTGCCTTTAGGCCAATTTAGAAGAAAGTATTAAAATCTGCCGGAGGATTTGCTTCAACAGTGAAGTAGAATAGGAAGAGGACAGTGGCACACGCTTCCCTTCCCTGGAGATTTGCCAGTTTGTTTTGGGTGGGAGAGGAGGAAAGAAAGGGGGAAAGGGAAAAAAATGGGGGTAGAATGTGCTGAATTCTCAGCGTTATTCCCTGAAGGTGTGGGCTGTATCTTTCTGAAGGAGGGAGGTATATGGAGAGGGATGGGCTAGGAAATAAATTCTAAAAACCAAGAAAAACACCTGATACTTTCTATTAAACAATCATATTTTGTCCTTGTCTATTTATTTACTTCTCTATTACAGATGTAATAGATGTCCATAGTGGGAAATACAAAAGGGAAACAAACATATCCAAAGAACATATACCAATCATATTTCATGTATTTAATATTTAATAATTAATATTTAATATTTCATGTATTTTCCTTCCCTTCTATGCATGAAGATTTGACTGTTTTGTTGAATTAGGTCATGTTTATAATTTTTTACTTTTTAATTATCTTATCAGAAGCATTTAATGGGTTAGGACATAACCTATGCAGTCATTTACTAGAGCTGAGTTCTAGAACTATGATAGATATTTAGGTCTTAGTTAATATTTCATTTTACTTTAGTACTGTTTATTTAGACAGAACAGAGAGGGGGGGGAATGGGGGGGAGGAATACCAATCAGGCTGCCCGCTCAGCACAGAGCCAGTGCAGGGCTCGACCTCAATAATGGCGAGATCATGACCTGAGCTGAAATCAGGAATTGGGATGCTCAACTGACTGAGCTGCCCAAGTGTCCCAGGTATTAGTTAATATTTTAATAGAGGTGACACTTCAGTGACTGTCTTCACTGCTTTATTATTATTATTTTTTTTTTAACTTAAGGGTTTTTTTCTTAGTACAGATGCCTGAAATCATGATGGGGAAGAGCTCAGAGAGGACTTTAAGGCTCTCAGTACTGACATAAAGGAGCCCACCTACCCTGCCTACCCTGGCTGGAGGTGGCCTCTGCCCCTTGGTATCAATGGTTTGTTTGTTTTGTTTTGTTTTTTAATGTCTGTTTATTTTTGAAGTAGAGAGAGACAGCACAAGCAGGGGAGGGGTAGAGAGAGAGGGAG